TTTAAATCCGAGCGACCCTGGAAAGAAACGGATATCTTTCAAAACGAACGGCATATTCAACTAATAATGATAATGTGCCTACTACCGATTTAACGAGTTGACCTACTAACATATTTTATTATTTATAATTAAGTTCACCGATAAAGAAATGTCTATTCAGCTTGGAATGTTTCGATATCGAAGTAATTTGCATTTCAAGTCCTTTTCGAAGGGAAGTTTGGATCATTTTTTTCCTCCCTTCTTGCAAGAAAATGCAAGAATTCCAAACCTGAAGTTCCTGTTACAGCCAATGACCATCAAGATGTGCGACCTTTCACCCATCATTGCAAATTTAAAAATAATAATAATGAAATTAAAATAATAAAACATGGTGTTAGGTCGTGATCTGGGGGGCTTTGCTCCCTTTTATCCGAGCTTTGCGTTATCGATGGGTGGCTCTGCATTCCCACAACGCCGATGAACTCGGAAGATGAAAGAAAAGAAAACCTGGGAAGTGCCTTATCCGTGTCTCCTTTGAAAGGACATGAAGCAATCCGGGCGATCCGTGCCTCGTCATGGCACGATCATCGATCGGTATCGCCCGCGACGGGGAAACTGGATTCGATCCCAAGCCGATGACGAAATTCCATCGTCAGCCGTTGTGACCGATATTCTTGCTTAACATCGTCTTCACCGTCTGTTCGACGGTCGAAGAAAGTGTTTCCGAGAAGTGAAAAAATGCGACGGAAGGGAATCCGGAGAATAGAGGTGGTAAAGAATGCCCATTCATGCCCGAAGGGTGAGCGATCGGCGCGGAACGGGAGATCGATTGAATCATGAGTGGATCGCCTGGCACGGCCATCTGGCCGAGGCCTCTTCCGTGGTAGATCTGTTCTTGCTCAATTACGACCGTCCTTATATTCTCTTGGGATAGCAAGCCCTGAGTGCATTTTTTAAGCGACTTGCCGAAGGAATGAACCATTTTTCAGTTACTTTTTCCGGTCCTTCACGTTCCAACCTCTGCAGGTGGATCGAATGGATTAACCCTTTCACGTATGTATTTTTCGAGCAAAATAAAAATATGACTTTTTTGGTTTAACGTTCAAGGAGGTACTCAGCCGTAGTAGTCGCATGTTTCACCGCTAGAAAGCAACACTGAAGAGATTGTGCCCTTGAGTTGACTGCATACACCAAAAGTTTCGAGGTTGTGTACCATGGCTAAAAAACCATCATCATCGCTAAAAATTTTGTCGCCCACTAGAGTGGACACCATGCGTGAAAGGGTTAAACAGATTAGAAGAAAAGTTGAGTGGATTAGACAGAACGCTTCCTTTTTGGCAATCAACTCGTTTATAATTCAAGTCTCTGAGGCACAAGAAGTTTTTGCTGATGTTATACCAACGAAGTGGACATTTGTTTGGTATCTACTTAGCTCCCATAGCCAACTGTGATTTTGAAAAGAATGCCATCGTTGAAAAGGAATTTGAAACGTGTTGCAGTTCCTCTTTAAATTGTAACTCTTTATTTGTGAAAGTTACTCATCGTGATCGAGAACGATACGTGCAGGAAATAAGACACAAAGCACAAACCCGATTTGGGGGAGATTTATCTGTAAAGATATGTCAGCCCTTAAAAAAAGTAATTTTTTTTTTCTTTTCCATCAGCGAGAATATTGGTTTATGAAAGATTGCTCTTGCACGATTGCAACCGCAGGGAACGCTTGGTCGGGACTAAATAGAAAGGAAAACTTTTGATGGCTGAAGTTTTCACGATGCGATGGGTTACGAAAGCGTTTCCCGCGCGAAGAATCGCTTTCGCAATCTTTAGGGGCTTGCTTTAATTCTTCCGTGGAATTTGAAAGGTTCAACTTTGCAATGTATCCAGTCGAATGTTGGGCGTTGCTTATGTTCTCATGCCGGACCTTGGACTCGGCTATAAATCAGATGCATTATTTTCATCGGAAAAAGTGAATAATGACAATAACGTGTTAGTTTTTGCTGAAAATCGTGACTATTAACGAGAAATAAGTTGCTGTCTGGTTTCTGGGTTTTTATATTCGGTCTCGTGTGATATGTTGGGTTCCATGCTTGTTATTATCTTGTTCCTCCCACCTGCTGATTTAAATAAAAGCCATGTAATCCTTTTTATTGTTCAGATCCTGTTTGCGCCGCAAAGCAATGAATGCCAGTGAAGCACGATGGCACCGGGAACAATAGTAGCACTGATCGGGCGTAGCGCGCGGGATCCAGCAGACCATTAGATTCCTTGTATTTTATTGCACCTGACCGAGCCCTCACGAAGATGTGGAAGGGAGATTGGACTTCGAGCTTGGAATCCGTCCAAAGAGATCCCGTATTTGGGGAGGCATCATCATCATCATTGCCATCGCCATGACGGCGAGGGCGCGGCGGGGCATTTCCATGCCGATGCCGCACGTGGTCATGCCAAGGTCAGGCTCGTGTGAGACCCAGAATCTCCTCTGTCCCTCTCGGATGTGGGTCTGCCGCTCATCCGTCGAGGTGGGGAGACGTGAGGTTACGCAAGGGGGGATTCGTGATGCGAAGGGAAACCCTGGGGTTACGTGAAAGGCCACCCTCCCATCCCTTCTCATACGCCCTCTTTCCTCCCCGCCCCGGTGTGTCAGCTGAATTGCAGTCGATTGGGGGCCATTCGTAATGCACGAGATCGAGGTCGAGCCTTGAATCCATCCTGCGTTCGTTTTAGACGTGCTTGCCTTAAATACGATTTGGTTGGGAATGAAAGCGGGAATTTAGCAGCGATGAACGGGAAGGAGTTATTGTGGAATGGGAAACCTGCTCGTCGTGGTCGTAAAATGCCTTTTGTAAGACAGAGGGCGATTACCATATGTGAAAAAGGTGCTCCCCGAGGCGTCAGATGAGAAACTTAACGAGATCCGCCGAGTACCGTCGCTGGGAAGAGGTCGTGGGTTCGAAACCCTAGGAGTTAACGAGAAATGTTAATCCATATATCCCTTCGTGTACAATGGTTGTGCGACTCTCTCGTTGCCAGCCACTAGATGGGTGGTCATTTAGGGCAATTATGCCTTTGTTTCTTGTCGGGCGAGTTCCATTTTTCTGGGATAATCGTTTCTGTTTCCTTTCTCTGATCGCTCTTGCAAGTCAAGTGAAAACAGCAATTAATATGCTTTTGGGAATACATGTAACATTTATTCAAGATACACAAGAAACGGTATTGGAGACGATCATGCACGATCATGTGTCCATGGCGACTTATGTGGCCATCCGGGAACGCGTTCCTATTCGCACCACCTCGTCCACCTTCGATGTGTCCGCGATGACGACATTGACTTTGCCCATAGTTTATCCTCATTGTACAGGTCATAGGACGTCTGCCGCAAAACGTTTTGCTTTGTTGGTATGGTCTCTGGGACGAACATGTCCACAGGGAATACATTCGCCGTTGGTTTCACACATTCAAGTGGTTTCACACCTTCTGCACGCAACAACTGTATCGCAGTCCGCTGATCCGTGGACGTGCTTTCAATGGAGTCTTTGGTTACTGTGCACACAATCTTGTGCGGGCAGTTTACGTTCTCAATGCTGATTAAATGCACCTGCAATTTTTAAACTTCATGGCGATTCATTATTCTATGTGCGGCTTTTGATGCTTTCAGTTGACTCACTTGATATATATAAAATCGCCTCTGTTGATGGATGGTCACAGATCGCTTCGCTCCCAATAGAGCCGATTCGGTGTCCTGGCGAAATGGACTCAAGGGAAAGGCCTTCACCTCTTTCTTTTTTAATATTCCATTTGCATTGAGACTCGGGAGAGATTTTGGATCGAGCTACCATCTGTAAGTGCAGAATTTGCGGCCTTGCCGTTGCTTTTCCCCTGTCCTTGTGCTAACCGGATCCGACGGTTTCGGGACAGCTTGATGGCATGACGCATGGTGGCATGGTCCTTGCCATCTTTGCTGGAAGGTCTCAAAAAGTAATTTTTTATTTTAAAAAAGACCATCTCGGCTGGTCTTCCTTGAGGTTCGCATCTCCCGTCCTTGGCGATGATTTCCCCTTTCCTGGTACCTGTTGACCTCTACCACTACTTGAAGCGATAGTGATCGATGCTCATTTATACCGAGACACATATCTGAGGCGTGACGCACGTGGCCATGTGGATAATGAGAATCGGCACTAAGTACTGGTTCTGACGAGTACCAACACGGGTACTTATCTTTATTGACATCAGCTGGTACCTAAAGCAGTACTTGCCAGTGCTGACTCGAACAGCGGTGCTGGTATTTGGACGAGGACGATTCCTACATTGCACGATGATCTAGGTCGCCATCGGCAGCAATGGGCTAAGCGAATCGATGAAGTCGGGGATCTTTTCGTAGGGAAGTGGTGAAGCGAGGAAACCCCAATGCTCCATCGACCGGAACTGGGAGGGAAAAAAAAACCATGGACATTGTACATTTTTGGGCTTCTTGCCGCTCTGTCAGCGAAGTAGAAGAGATTAATAAATTAAAATGTTATGTCTCTGCGTTGATGACGATGCATGTTGTCATTGTCTCCATGCTTTCATTCCTCGACTTTCGCGACATGTGTCGAGGTGGAGGGGGATTCGCTTGCAGTCTGGAGATGGTTTAGTTCCATGTCAGTTTTGCTGGAACAGTTTCCTTCAGAACTGCATATAGAATGTGGATCGCCATATCTTCGGGTTATACTTTGACCAGGCCCTCATCCTACGCCCGTCGTGGTGGAAGCGACGACGTAGCCCCGTTCAAAGGGATTTCTCCGTGAAGAAATATATTAGTTTGGGAAGATATACGTTTTTTTTCAACTTTCGGTGGCGAAGGGGTGTGGTACTTGGTTTTTACATAACTGATTTGCATGAGGAGGAGGGAAAGCGACAGAAATTGCGCGTGAAAATAATTTTCTGAATGGTTTGAGTTCCCGCGATGGGATTAAGGGGCTTCCCACGCACCGTTTATGCATTCCAGATGTGGCTTTCACAACGTCAGTTTCAGTCGGTGTGGTATGAGGTCGGGGTAATTACCGTCTAATCCCAAGCGTTTTACCACCGCGATTGATTCTTGCCGTTACCCCTTCGAGGCAGCAGTTATTGCCTGGAGGCAGCGGTTACCGCCTCGAGCCTCCAGAGGAAATGGAATCGCGCAAGGAAAATTTAAAAAGGCGTGGAATCGTCATGTCTGAATTTCGACCTCACGCGTCTCAGAAACTGGCTCGAGAAGATTGTATGCGCAAATCCGAAGAAATTAAGCCACGTAAGAGCTCAGAAGGTGTGTTCATTATGGACGAGAGGGACAAAATATACCAATCGAATCCTCGTCTCCACTGTGCACCTACATCCCAAACGTGTGTTCAATGACATACTCATGACAATTTAAAAATAATTTATTACTGAATTATCCATCCGCTCCCATTTACCCATTGTACTCGTCCTGCCACTTCGTGCTTTCCTCTCATACATCTAATTGTTTTTTTTTTTATCCTTAGAAGGTGGATCCGGAGCTGATCTTCACGAAGCAGGAGCGGATCGGGAAGGGCTCGTTCGGGGAGGTGTTCAAGGGGGTGGACAACCGGACGGGGGATGTGGTGGCCATCAAGATCATCGATCTGGAGGAAGCCGAGGACGAGATCGAGGACATCCAACAGGAGATCATGGTCCTCTCCCAGTGTGATAGCCCCTACGTTACCAAATACTTCGGATCCTATCTCAAGGTCTGTCTCTGCTTGCTCGAATGTATTTTTTTTAATAATAATTTTCTCAAATTGTCATTAATTTTATTTCAAATCGAAGTTATTTCAACTTGAAGCTGACAAAATTTTGCGACGTTTGTTTAATTCTGTTCACGGTTTGGATTGACGGAACCGTTGACTGTTTGGGTATCGGTAAGGGATCAAGGCACCAGAAGCCCAAGTTTTCTTTCGTACACGTTGCGTCGTCCCGTATTATGTTATAACACAAGAGGGTATATTTCCATGCTTCCATTGTGTCGTCTTCGAGGGAAAAAAGAAAGGGGGGATTAGACAAGAGCGAGCATTGTTTCGTTTCTCGGTGCGGATTCCGCCGTCATTGTCTGGATGCCGTCGCCCCGTGGCTGTCATTGTCTTGATGCCGTCTCCCACTTTTTCCGCGGGGCCAACCGTGCAGCCTTGTATAAAAGTCACCCTATATCTGGCGGATTCCGGTGAAATGGGGTCGTCCTGCGTTACGAAGGAACGAGAGGACGCAGCCCTGATCTAATTTTTAAAATGGTTTTGTAAAGCTTTCATATGATTTTTTAAATACTGTATATTTGTTTTTTTATTCATGCGCGGTTTTTTGTGTGCATTTCTGCCTCAGAATCGGGTGATACGCGTGACTCAGCGGGTCCCGCCATGGCAACCCTCCTAAAAAAGGAGTTTGCATAGGTCTATGAAGGCCGGGGGCCGTCGATGAATCCCCGCTGTGCCGAATGGGAATGAAGGCGGGTCAGGTGTATGCAAATGGCGAAATGGGAAGGATTTAAAGACCTTGGCCCCTTCGCCTCTTCTCTTCCCCCCCCCCCAAACCCCCACCAGGACCACTGAGGAGCATGAACTCCCCCCCCCCCCCCCCCCCCCCCCCCGGGCTGAAACCTACCTGGAGCCTGTAATAGAGTCCTCTGTCACTTTTCATTTATGCGCGTTTCCCTTGTTCCTGATGGTTATCTTTTGGTGCTCATCTTCATGCTCCTCAGTGGTCCTGGTGGGGGTTTGGGGGGGGGGGGGGCTGGCAATCCCCACCTTCCCTATCCCCTTTCCCCTCGAATATGTCTTTTATATCAGATCTGACCGACTGGAAATGCAACTAGGTACATGGTAGATGACGTCCACCGCTAATAGGATGATAGGAATAAGCTTGTTGGGCTCTGGCACGTGGATAGTCCCTTATCTTGTGGTTGATTTATCTACTCCCTTCCCCGGCAGTCATGGTGGAATGCCGTGGCACCTTGCTGATTGATTGATGTACGTATTGCTGGAAGAAACCATTTTAGTTTGTCCTGTTTTTTTTTTTTTCTTCTTGCATCTTCTCAGCGAGAAGCCACTTTATCCTGGAGCGAAGGCAGTCATTGCTTCTGGGGTTCAAAAATAAATATATAGTTATACGTATGAATAAAAAAAATAAAACAGGTTCATAGAACAGGTGCAGCTCGCTTCCGGTCTCCGTTTTCTAGGAAATAAGGCGAAACGCCATAAAAATTTATTATTTCGTGGCTATCCTTGTTTGTTGGCACGATGATACACTTGTATTTCGGCACGAGATGCGAACGCAGCGGGTGGTGCGGCGCTCGAAGGCCATGGGAGCCACTGGCTTTCGTTTCTTCTTCATTCTCGTCTCTTTGGAGGCCTGATGGGTGGAATTAGGAAAAAAAAAAATTTACGTACGGTTCGTGTTGGTTGGATGCCGTGTTTGTTGGTGATAGGTTGGCAGCCTAGGAAGTGATTCTGAGGCTCTTTTGCGTGGACATTGTGTTCGGTGAATTCCGGAAAAAGGGAACTCTTTTGGAGTACGTTAGTTCATAATAGTCCATTCGTTTCCCTTCATTGTTCGGAATCGACGAATAGTTGGTAAGCTCTCTTGGTCTTATATTCAGTATGCAGGAGTCCCGACAGGTCCATCAGGAGAACACGGAAAAGTTCGACCCTCTTGCTGCTCTTTTTTTTTTTTTTTTTTTGAATGGTATACTTTTTTGGCTGTTCACAATACAGTCATCCCCCGACTTGCGTCGTCTCGACTTACATCGTTCCGCACGTACGTCCTTTGCCCCCCAGACCCAATATATTATGCCAAGCGCACAATTCGTACCTACGTTGTATTACGTTGTCCTTACGTCGTCCATGAATTGGTATCTCATCTGCGAGTAGTCGGCAACACCGTAATGTCTCGACTAACGTCGCCGGTCTCGGAACCAATTACGACGTAACTTCGGGGGATGACTGTACTAATTATCGTTAGCTTGGAAAATGTGAAGAAGGACCTTGCCCTCTTTTCAAGGATCTCACCCCAAGAAGCCATCCTCATTTCATCTTGACGATGGGAGGTCTATTGGGGAAAATTAAGTAATTTTCCCTCATTATGCTTGTGCGTGAGTTTAGCTGGCATGGGGTAACCATGCCAGAGGAATATGGGTAGCTGTTCGCATTCTCATGCATTACTCCTGTCGAGAGAGTTTTAGTTGCCAATGTTGCTCTTGCGATGCTTTCTGTCACAAGAATGCTTTTGTGCCCCTATTGTTTGTGTTTTGAGCATTTAAGATGCCACGGTCTGTCATTTTTGTTTAATGTTTGACCAATTTAGGACTTGTCTCACCGTCGGATCTGCGTAACTTTTTGTTTTCCGGTCCATGATGCGAAATAGCATTCCAGGGGAGGTCCGTGTCTGGTGCGATCGACTCGATCGTATGGCGTTCGTGTAATTACTATACTTACACGGTTCCCATATAATTTTGACAGTGCCGTTTGGGATAATGTGAGCCTCTCAGGGTGATATGGTCGTTCGAAGTTTGACTGTTTATCACAATTGTTGACATCTGAAATACTCGGACAGCCATATGTGAAACTTGAAAAACTTGCAAGGCCTTTTTAAAATGGTTCCATGAGAATTATCCTTGGACCACTGAGCAGGATTGCTTCGTCTGCATTGTGAGTTGTTTGGAAAATTTTGTTTCTCTATTCATCAATCTGTTCACAACCCTCGCTGGAACCAGTTAACATGCTTTTATTCCCCCGAGTTTCCCTACGCCAGGTCTCTTGTAGGTAAGTCCAAGAGTTTTAACTACCCTCCTGGTTTGAGTCAATTTTTTTCATCTGAATTTTTACAGTATATTTCGACCTAAGCAGTGGTCTTAGTGTCAGCGTTTTCGAAATTCAGTTCAAACGTCTATCATAAGTCTTACTTGCAATACTGTTCATGTTTGACGAAAGCTGTTGAAAAAAAAAATTATAATTTTTGTTGAGAAAATTTTTCCATGAATTACAAAGTGGAGTTGAAGTGCAGACCGTTTCGCTTCTTGAAAGAGATTTGCGTCTCTTTCCTTCTGGAATTGATCATCCGTCTTGGAACACGGATGTCCGTGGAAACCCTGTCCCTTCGTATTATGCCTTTTGTCGTCGCTGTCAGGAAGGAATGCGATTATGGGTAAGACGAGGACGAAGGTGCTGTGAAGGGTCCAAGGCCTCATCCTGGGGAACCGCAGGTGAAGGCCACTGCTGACAAGGCTGAGTAACCCGAATAGGACAAGGAGGAGAGACGACAGAGGTGCTGACACGGAAGCACTCGGGAGTCGAACTGGAAAGTGAGAAGGTCGGTGGGGGGTGGGGGACGCGAGGCGAGGCGTCCGCTAGCAGACGACTGGGCTGACGTCATCGCCTGGTCCTCTGCCTCGTGTTGGTTGATGAATTCAGCTGGTTTTGGCGAACTCATCAGGGATGACACCTAAGATCATCATCTTATCTCGCATATGAATCACAGGAAGGGAAATGGGTCGTAATCGTATTATATAAAGGGAAAGGAGGTATTGTTATGTAATATAACGGGAAATGGATATGTGAATGTTGCGCCAGGGTCTTTCATCTGTGGTTGTTGGTGGATGTGTTTGCCAAATCGCGTCAACGCCTCCCTTACTATATGGTAGTAATAACTTCATTGTAATGGGCTATTATAAAAAATTCCATTCCCATACTGCATGAAGCACAAGAACATAGGGTGTTTATTTCAATCTAATCGTATTGCATTCTCCAGCTCATTCTGCTGAAAGGGCTGGAGAAAATGTTCTCTTTTCTAGATCCGCTTTATGCAGCAAGGTAACTAGATAAGAATTACATAGGGCAAGGAAGAACATGAGATAGATTTTTCACTCATGGGGTCAATGTGAAAGCCTCTTCTGTGTCATGGAGAACATTAAGAAAAATCCAAGTATTTCTCCTGCAGTGTTTATTTGTTATTTTAGAAAATATACCCAAGTATCTTGTGTAAATATGTCTGAGTACCTTATCCTTTTATCAAGTCTCCTATGTGCTTTTTAACCAATGCTTGTGTCATTTTCTGGGATTTCCTGCAAATAGCAATACTTGGATGTTTTGCAGTCAGCCCTTCAAGCACAATGAAATGCAATTGTGGAATTTCAGGGCACAAAGTTATGGATCATCATGGAGTATCTCGGTGGTGGATCGGCCCTGGACCTGATGAAGGCAGGCTCCTTCGAGGAGATGCACATTGCCATCATCCTCCGGGAGGTCCTCAAGGGACTTGACTATCTCCACTCCTCCAACAAGCTCCATCGAGATATCAAAGGTCAACAGTTCAACTGATTGAAGTATGCATGGGTGTTATGTGTTTTGCTTTCTTCATGCTTATTGAGGTGCGGTTCCCTCTGGTTCATCTCGAGTTTCTTGATTCTGTTGTATCTACAAAATTGAGGTATGCAAGTTTGCAGCTTACAATATTTGTATTTCTCTTGTTGCAATTTTTTTCACTTATTGAATGTCCATTCATTCATGATGAATAGTAAAATCTGACACCTTCTTTTATTAGCCTGCCTGTCTACAACTCTGCATGATTAAAAAGGTTCTTCTTATCCCTATGTAGAAGCATGGGAATGAGAAGCTTGAGAAATTTACAATGATGATCTCAGAATGCTTTAAGTATTGATGATATGAACTTTTTTGAAATGGCATTCCTTACTCTTTGCCTGACTTCTTTTTAACTCTGGCAGAAAATGATAGAAAACAGTCTGAGCTTGTCATTGTATAGCTTATGGCTTTCGCAAGTCCAGTAGATGTAGTGATGATAGGACTTTTGCTGGGCACTGTCACTCTCTGCTTTTCCATCCATACCACCAGCTAGATTCTATCTATCCTCTCATGTTAATTCTGATTAAATCAAGAATAATTTTCACTACTGGATTCCAAAATCAAGATCCAAGCTTTAGCCAAGACCATTTTGGTCTTCAACCATGTAATGTTAGTGCTAACTGTTTGTTTGAACCTCAATTTGAAGACTTAGGATAGGCCTCAATACAAGAACCTTTGGGTGAGTTTATCTGCCTTCCAGGGAAATCACAGCCACCTGTGCCAGGTCTGCTTTTTTCATTCTTTTCAGAAGTTAAGAGAGCAGCTTACATATCTCAGCCCACATCAATCAGTGTCAACAATAGATAAAATGGGACTTCCACATCATAATTTCCCCATGTACTGTCCTTTCCTAGGAGTAAAAGCTCTTTCAATTTACCATGACCTTTAATAGGGTGAAGAGTCCCTTGCCTTTAATGGGGAAAATTGTCAAGATATCATATTTTAATAATTACTTTAGACAAGGAGGCATATCCACTTTATGGCTCATGCATGATCATTCCCATGAAGCAAAAAATTAAAATTTTCAGTTCATGTGCCCCTTCTATGATGTCAGAGTTGTGGGCACACCTGAAGTGGATGACATTCCTGATGTGTTGTGATTATCCACCTTGTGTGTCTGCTTCTCAATGAAGTTCCATGGATGTTGCCACCTCCTCCTGTTGCTTGAATTCTTTTTTTTTTATCATCTGATTACAGCTGCAAATGTGCTCCTGAGTGAGAGGGGGGAGGTGAAACTGGCAGACTTTGGTGTTGCTGGTCAGCTCACATCCACCACATCCAAGCGCAATACCTTTGTTGGTACCCCCTTCTGGATGGCTCCTGAGGTCATCAAGCAGTCTGCCTATGACTCTAAGGTATCATTTTGCTTCCTTGATCTTTCACAAGATGGTATTTATCATTTTTAATATTGCTATTGGGAATTTTCTGGCAGGCGGACATCTGGTCTCTGGGGATCACAGCAATTGAGCTAGCAAAGGGGGAACCACCAAATTCAGATATGCACCCAATGCGAGTCCTCTTCCTCATCCCGAAGAACACTCCCCCACAGCTCCAGGGAAACTATACCCGCCCATTTAAGGAGTTTGTGGATGCATGCCTGAACAAGGACCCCGAGAACCGACCTGCAGCGCGGGAGCTCCTCCGGCACATCTTCATAAAGCGTGCCAAGAAGAATAGCTACCTCATTGACCTCATTGAGAAATATAAGCGGTGGAAGGACACTCATGCCGACGACTCAGATTCAGACTCGGATGCCTCTGGATCGTAAGTGGTTTCATTTTCCTGGATTGTGTATGGCTTTCTCATGTTTGTGCAATCATAATGCCAGCAAAGTGCCTTTAGCAAAATCCAGATTTCTTCATCATGGTAGCTAATGTCATTGTTCCTTCATTTTTTCTAGCAATAATAAATCAATTTCATTCTGCTTTTAATTCGCATCAGGCCATGCTGTGTCTTGAGTAGGTTTTCACATAAAGCTATTATTTGAAGTCATTGGAAAGTTTTTGCATAATAGTGTATGAGGCATTTTTTAAATGACCTATTGGATTCCATGTCCTCATCTTGGTCCCTCCTTCTCAATATGTTAGAAATTCTTGGTTCTTTCCCTTACCTCTTATGTACCTGATGTATTTGTCATTTCAAGTTCTTCACCATTTTGGACCATGGGATTGGGGCAGTCTTGACCTTTTCTCCATCAGTTACTTAGCATTCAGCTTCTAACATGACCTCTACTATTGTTGTAGGGTGAAGACATTGACCTACTCTTGAATAAACCTCCTTTTGTTCTGGCATAGTGATGCAGGCTTATATAGCTGGCTAGGTGTAAAAGGTTAAAAGGGTTGGAGGAAATTCTCACATTCCCAGATTGAATCACTTTCAGAATTGCTGCAAGAGGTTTTGCTGGTTAAGGTTTACAGGTTTTTACAGCTTTTTCCCTCTTTTTTTCTTACTGGTTTTTAGTTCTTGTTTATATATATATATATTTGAAATTTTGAAACATTTTCTTTAGTTATCTTTATTTAGTTGTAGTTCAGTTTTCCTTCATCTACTGATGCATGTCACTTTCTTTCCACAGTGGGGATTCTCATGGAGAGAGTGACACAGAACCCTGGATCCTGACCATCAAGGGAGCCCCAAATGTGAATGCAATCCCAGGAATGGAGCCAAGGGAGCCAGAAAGCCTGAGCATGGGGTTTGGGAGCTTGGAGCCGGGTACAAGCCCCCCCAAGAGCCTATCCCTGTCCCTGTCGCCTGCCTCTCGTGTGCCCAATGGGGGCTCCCCACCCTCCCTCAGTGATACCTCCACTTCCTCCACCTCCTCTCCCTCCCCAGTGTCCTCACCAGTCAAGAATGAACGTAACAATGTGGTCAGTCTCTTCATCCTTTTAATAATATCCTGCATTTCTCCAGGTTGAAATACTTGTAAAATTTGAATTTGTTTCACTCACCACAATTAAGTTGAAATAATTTGACACCTTTTGCATTATTAGCATGCTGTAAACTTAATGGGATATGTTCTTGAAGCGAGTATGAGCCCATTGTCTGCTGCCTACAGGGATTTTCAATTCCTTGGCTCTCTGGTTTCTTCAGTTGTTTTTTCACATTGGTCCTGTTCCTTTTGTCAGGTCACATTTTCTCTATTACCACCAGCCTCATTCCTTTAGTTTCACATTTGTGACATACCTCAAGAGAATGCTATCTTTGACAATGTAGACTGCAACTGTGCTTGAGAATCTAATTCCCCAATTAGAATGATGATGATGATGACAAATTTCCACATGCTGTCAGCTTTGACCTTGTGTGCATTAAGTGATGATGACTGCCTCTGGCTTTGCAGTTGCGGACACCCCCAGTGAGACCGGCAGGACTGGCCCCGGCACCACCAGATGTAGGAGTTCACAGGCAGTCCTGGCATGCAGGCGAGGAGCGAAACAATGCTGTCCCTGTCCCAGACCGGCGCATGGTCCACGAGGCCGAGTCCATTGAGCTCAAGGTTCCTGGACCCACCTCTGTCCCTATCCCTGCCCCCAAGGACAGGTCCAGGGAAGGTGAGAACACTGTTTTAAGCAAAAGTTCAGCCTCGCTGTGAAAAAAGCATGCTCATTAGAATATAGCATGGACATTCATACCAAGGCCAAGGCCAGGCTACCCCTTGGAGAGTGTACAGAGGTTGTCTGTCCTGAGCATTCAAAGTGTTGGATGAGACATTCTGGGGCCTCTCACTGATGATGATGGAAAAGTCTATTCAAACGAAAATGAAGTAATTGATTTTTTTTTTCTTTGAGAATGAGTGACAGTGATGACTTCATGAACAAATTGAGCAGTACCTGTACCATAATGGATGATATTGATCAACACCATCCAAGGATGGAGTCATTGATGGATGGTGGTAGGGGCAACAGATGACTGAATAATTGCATAAATTCGATGATTAATGATAAGTCGTGTGCTGAGAATCTCTTATGGGCAGCATCTGCTCCATTGAAGCATCTAAATGCTTTGTAAAGCTTGTGTACCTTGAGAATTCCAGCAGCCATTTATGGATGGAAGAGCAATTGTGTATGTCAAGTAATAATAATTATTTAGCAGAATGGGATTGCCAAAATGCTCTTGAATTGGAAAGGTTTTTCAGTTGGAAAGAGTAATGCAGGCAGCACTAAATGAGGTGAGTAAGCTCATTTTGATTTGTGAGAAGATGATGGTTCTTCTTGCATCCTTTTGGGATTTCATTGGTTTCCCTTCTTGAGTTTCCTTGTTGTTTTCATATACGTTGCTGGGGGTCTGATACTTCTAAATGAACCCTAGTTCAAGGCCTGTGCTTGGTAGGATGCTTGGCCTGGGACCAATGTGGTGTAACCCTTCAGTGCTGCTGCAGGCCTGTTTTACAGCAGACCTAGTGTATTGAGTCCAGCTAATCTGAAGGTTTTCTAATTGACCAAAGGATAACTAGAACTCTCTGTTGTTGAGAGGATGGCAGGTTGTTTGAGGGCCTGATTTTCCTGCCAGTGAATTATGCAGCTCTTGTGCCACTCCATCCTTTAAGGTGCTCATGCATAAGCCCTCCTGTGGCTTGTATGCCTCCAGTTCTGTTTCCTAGCTTAACATAGGGCAGGTGATAGAAGTAGCAAGACATCACATGCTTTTTCCTGTATAGTTTCCTGTAGATCAGAGAGCTGGCAATTTGGTATGTTATTTGTTATGGAGTGAATACTCAGACTGAAGAATGTACTCTCATTCTGCAGTATCAAAAGAGAAGGTGCTGACAACATCCAGCTCTGGAGACAGGAAGATGGGAATGAAAGTGTTTGGAGTGGTGTCTCCTGTGAAGGCTCCACAGCATGGACCAGGGCGTACCCCAGGAGGACACCAGACCATCTCTCCTGTCCTCACCTCAGCCATCTTCCCACTCATCTCGGAGGTACCTTCTTTTTAACATTTTCTTTCATTGGAATAACCATTGGTTTGTGGGATATGGAAAAGAATATTAGTTGTTAAAGGAGTCAATTCACCAATTTATTTGTAAAGAGATGACACCCAGATCAAACAATTTAGGTGTTTGTTGAAAGAGATATCTTGGCAGAAGTTATATTCTATGCAAGTGGGAAAATTTTGTATCTTATTATATCAGCTCCCCCTCTCTCTTCCCTTTCAATTTGTCAATCATCTCACAATGCCATGGCAAAAAAAATCATGCATTTGGAAAGCCCTTAGTTTTTGCCTTTTGTTTGATGTGCAGATTCATATTGGGGAATTTTCACTCCACTCTCTAATTGACATTTCCCTTTTTGCTTTGGCAGCACATTTTTGTTCTGAGTGTGGCTTATCAATTAAGGCTTTTATTCAATGTAAATGATGAAGAAAACATGCAAATCTGGATTTAGCTAGAGTTAAGTGATATATAAAATTTTTATGGTATATATTGGATGGATGATGTTGCAGCTCCAGAGGCGGCACAAGGGCTCGGTGAGGGGTGAGGGGGGATCCCGAACGGATGCCATAGAGGAACTGAAGGCTGCATTCGAGCTGGCTGAGCGTTCATCTCCTGGCCTGAGCGAGGCTTTCCTCTCGGAGCTCTTCACCCGTCTCCTGCCTGGCATCACGGGGTCCAAGCTGAAGGATGCCCTTGATCATATTGGAGGGTCTGTCTTCTGCCTTGTCCACATACCATAAAATGATCTTTGTTTTATTGGGTGCATGACGTGAGTCATTTTCACCCTGCATAGTATGTGCTCCTATACAGGTCCTATACCTCTAGATTGCAACTTGAAAAATATATATTAGCATAAAAACCTGCTTCCATGTAATAATGAAATGCCCTAAAGGTGATTCTTATACCTGGGTGGCAAGTGAAGTGCAACCCAAATAATGACCGAAAGTCTAGAGTTTATTAAGGCTAAAGTCATAAATGCACTCAGCCTGATGTGTACTTAGTGGAGATCAACAGGCTTGTCTGTTTTGGGAATGGAAGCATCATGATCAAAGCCACAAAATATCCATTTTTATGATAATCAAGTCAAATTTAACTTGCATATGGTAATAGTGGGAAAAGATAACCTGACAACCAGACAACAAACTTGATCATAAATAATACATGTTGTTGATGATCAGGTTTTGCTGGGAAGTGTAAGCAGGTATAGCATTTTCTTTCAGGCTGACATATGTTGGAATCTTGTGACCAAGTGATGTTCTATCAGGGAGTTGTAAAATAGTATCATAGTGGAAACAGGGTGGGATCATTATCAATGGGAGCTGATGATTTTAGTTTATCTGATATGATGTATCGTTAAAGCTGATATGTTAGTGCAGGAATGTAGCATCACTCTATAAAAATGTTTTAAGTTCATTTTCAGCCAATGTGTACTCATGCAGCGCCAGTATTTTCATTATGATGCAAAGGAAACTTAGTTTTGTCATGTCTACTAATAAATTTGACAATAAATTTTGTAGATGCAGTACTGCCAGAAAGTTTGAGGCAGGTGGGAAAATTTTGCAAGTCTTAAAAAAAAATGTTTTAAATAACAAACAAACAAAAAAAATTTCACCTAATAAAAACCATGATTAATCATTTACATTTCATCTGAAAAAAGAGCATTACATTGTTTTGGTCTTTTTTTGAAATAGAATCATTTTTGCTACCTGCCTCAAACTTTCTGGCAGTTCTGTATGTTCTCCACATTATAGCATTAGATGGCACAGAATGCCTGGCTCTAAATCTTGATCTTTTCCTTCGCAGGAGGGCAACGTGAAGATGCAATATTGGGGAGTGTGCGTTCCTAGTGAGCCAAAAAACTGTGATGGTGGTGGACCTCATGTGGGGGAAACGAGAACATGATGGACCCTGAAGATGAAAGTTGCAGCTGAGCAAAATTATGTGCTCACGTTCGTGTGGAGTGTCAACTCACGAGTGGGCAAGTTTTGTGCGAGGTGGTGATGATAAATTAGTTGTGGTCAAGGCGTCTATGGGTCATCGTGTTCTATTTAAAACTGCTTCTCGTGGATCTTGTTTCTGTGAAGGTGCAAGTTCTTGCACAAGGTATCACTCGGGCCTGATCACGTTCACATGCTGGCACTCACACGATACTCTTTGGTAAGAAGATGATGCCGCTCGTGAGTTCTCACTTTTGCAAGTCCCATGCCGGTTGCAAGTATGAGTCAATGCCACGCGAGTCTCGCATGCCCCCAACGTCACCCCTCGTGAGTCCGTGAGAAGACAGCATTCACATAGGTGCCACAAGTTCACTCATAAGGTGCAGCAGGAAACCAGCAAACAAACACACATCACACCAAATCACCTTCCACCTGTATTGTGCATGTGCCCCATAGTGGGGTGTTGTCAGTGCCTTTTGCTGCCTGTGCTCTCCTCTTCTCAAACACACCATTTTCTTTTCATAGGAACAATACTTGGGCAAAGTTGCAAAATCCTTCTACGTGCCGATTTTTCACGCCATATGTCTGTGATTTTTTGGCGTGGGACACGCATGAATTCATTCCAAACAATTTTTTTTTGCACGACAGGCAGCTTGGCACAAGCGATGTGATCTCGCCTCCCATTGGATATTTCCTTCGGCCTCGCAATTTTCACTCTTGACTCATGTAGCCTCTTTTTCTTCTCTGGATTGGCCGAGCTGACACTCGAGGGCATTTTTCGCAGAGGGTGTTCCGGTTGCTAAAATATGTTTTGCTGTTTTAGAGAAAGATTTAAGAAGAATGTATATGCCTGGAATTTTATCCAAGGAATAAAATACCTATTGCTATTCTCGAAACCAATGTGTGAAATTTTACCATCAATAACTTAGTCATGAACAAAGAATAAACAATAAGAAATTCTTGCAAATCCAGAAGACCCACCTACTTCTCAGGTGGGTCAGTTGAAAGTTTTCACTAGGTGAAAGTGGAATGACTTTTACCTTACATGAACATCTGCAGCGCATTCTTAGATATTTAATGCTGAATTAGTTCTGACTCGCCACCACAGAGTATCATGATTTCACTTTTGTAAATAGCAAATTGATCCAATGCATATTCTTTTGTATACTTGCTAAGAAAACTGTCTCAATTATTCTGTCCTACTTTTTTCATTTTGAAATGTGAAATGAAATGAAATTTAAATTAAGTAATTTATTGCTTGTTCTAGTGCAGGGGTTCTTAACCTGGGGTCCATGGGGTAGGTCCAGGCAATCTGTGGAGGGTCCTTGGAAAATAAAATATATAATTGAAGGTAGCTCCCAAAAAACATCATTTATAATCACAAATCCATGTGTTCCAAAGTTTTTGATAACCATGGGTAATACTTGAGGATCTGGGGGGTCCGTAGGTGCAAAAAGGTTAAGAACCCCTGTTCTAGTGGGGGCAGAAGATATCCTCTGTAGGTTGTTGTGAAAGTATGGATCTCTGAAATGGGTATACCTCCATGTAATTTCTTCTCCCAATTTATGTTCCATTTCAGATCCAGGTCTGCTCTTACTTTCCATGCTTGGGAAAACTGTTGTGCTGCCATTCTCTTGGACAATGAGATATGCATATCTGCAAATCTTTTTCAAATGCCTTGCTATGGAGAGGAGAATGTCAGTAGGTCATTCTACATTTGACTTCAATGGAGACGAATAAGACGTTGACAATACTCTCTCCACAGTGTTTAGAGCATTGAATGAAATAACTCCTTACCTGGACCAAGAAAAGAATTGTTTGACTCAGTTCTGGAAAACACAAAGTTGTTAACTCCTAACAGTGGCATGCCCAAGGGGGGGGTTTGGGGGGTCATAACCCCCCCCTTGGGGTCAATTTTACAGGTTCGATTCTCAAAATATTTGTTATTTGGACATAAATACAGGGTAGGTAATCAGTGTTTCATATGGTGAACCCCTCCATTCAGATTTCCTGGGCACACCACTGACTCCTAATAATAAAAAATGGCATTCAGACTGAAATGTCCAAACATTCAAAATTTGAGATGTTTATGTCACATATAAGGTGACTTTACCCCATGTTTTACAAGTTCTGTCTCAGTTCCCAGTATGAAGAACCTGTGTCCTGGTTTTTAAGCATTATAACTTAACAATGAAGATGCTCTGTTTGATAATCATGGCATGTATTTGCCTTACAATTATTGAGAAGCTCCTTCTCTTCATGGCAGGGAATAGTCATGTAAGGAGGGAGTCGAACATGGCAGCTGGTGAGTAATTGGAAATGATCCTGCAATGTCTTGGCCTCTAGAGCTAAAACCTCCAGGGATGACTCTGTTCTTTTATTAGCACATTTGTGACATAGGTGGCATAGGTGCATAGCATACATTGTCACCATGGGTGCATGGCAATTGGTAATTCAAACTGTCAATTATTTCTCATTGTCTAATTATGCCTTTGAAGATAAATAATCACACAATACAAATAATAAATAAATAAAACTGTTCAGTTGCAAAATGGAAATCAGAAAATTCCACTCCATCATGAATGCATTGAAGCAAATCCCAGAAACTTGCTTTTGGTGTTAAAATAATCATTGCTAAGCATTTTCCGTTTCCAATTGTATGACATGACAAGGGCTTGGGTGATGTGTCAGATTTTTGGGAAAGAATTAGATACTTGATATGTGTTTTTTCTCTGACTGGTGCCTACTATGAATCAATGCATAAATGGAGAGGGTTTTCTTTTTTTGGTAACAAACTACGTAGATTCGTTAAAGGTCTTAATGGAGTTACCTTAGAACTATTAATGCTATGTTGTTATGTGAGATTGATTTGTCCTAGATGCAGTGAGTCCCATGAGCAGCTGAAGAATGACAAAAAATATATAAAAATAAGCTTACAAATCAAGTATAAAGCCAAAAGTGGCTGAAAAATGCAATCAATTCTTAAATTACATATCCCAGATTTTATGCTCTGCAATGTGACCTTATAGTGCAGATTTAAATATAATGTCATGGTTTTTTATGTAAGAATGCCACTTCCATGAGGGTGGATTGAGGCCACCTTGTCCTGATGAAAAATTTTTCAGTCACACATGAATAATGACAGGTATCATTACTCTTGCCTATTATTAACCTTTTGGCATCTGAGTATTTTGAATCTCTTTGCACTGCCAATCCCTTGGCATGAGGCCAACACAAGATAACTTGGGCATAGACGCCAAAGGGTTAAGCCAATTGCATCACCCAAGATGGAAATTAGTTCACTGCCAGATCTGAACTTTCTTTCTGCAACAGTGGGATTGCAAACTCTCAGTATTCATGACACATGGAAGTTTAAAAATTTAATCAAAATTCATGATTACAAGGATGTGAGGGGGCATCAAAAAGTTTTGAAAATGGATTTTTATCCCAAAAATGATAAATTCTGCAATCATGAAGTATATGTCATAAGTCCTGTCTTTATTGTATTAGGGGGTAATATTTAAAATGTATACTATTGCATCTCTGTTTGTTTTATCTAATCTTAAATGATGATTAACATTTCCCCTGTTATCACAATAAAGTTGAAATTTATGGCAAATGTTAACTTCTATGATAAGCTCTTGGAAACTGGACTAGAGATCCAGAATTTGCTTTGAAATTTCACATGGTAACAAGGCAGTAATGCTTGTGACAGTGTCAAGTTGATTCAAATGATTTCAAGATTATAGGAACAGCATAAAATATGAACCAGTAGGAATTGGTTAATGGTTGATATTCACAAGGAACATAATCTTGGAGTCACTCAAACTGCCTGCACACTGATCAACGGGAAATTTGTTCCTATGTGCAACTTTAAACAAACCATGGGTCTCTTTCACAGTTTCCCCAGCTTAACCCTTTCAGACCTGGCATCCATTCCAATAGACATTTCATTTTCATTGTGTCTATGGTAATTTCTTTGAATTCTTCTGACTTTACACCCCAAATTACACTACAATGGACACAATTATGCATGGCTCAATTCCATCGGTGACCTTCTTTCACCCATCAGTTTAATAATCTTCAGTTATTTAGTGAAATGTTAATTATATAATATATGGTATGATATGGTAAATTTATACAAAATATAAAAATGATATATAGGACACAGAAATTTAAATTACAATAGCTAAAGAGCTCAAAAATGCAAAAAAGTATATTATTCCAAAAGCGGCCTTAATTCAGGTCTGAAAGTGTTAACACAAACCTTAGCATTTGCCATGCACACAACTTCATTGCAAAAGTGGGAAAATGTCCACTTGCAAAAGACAAAACATACAGAAATGTAAACCTACTTTTGTGGTAATTTTATTTCTAATTCGGTAAAGACATTAGGGGTAGTATGTGTCATATCATATCATATGACATACTGCATGACAGTATTTTATCTAATTTTTTAGATATGAATTAATTTTCACAACTTTTTGACATCCCCACATACTGTGCCAAAATCAGATAGTTGTCTGGTCCCAGATAATGTAGTTGATTCTTGGGAACAAAACTGGAGGAAGAAAGAAAATCCACATTGCATAGGTTGACTGTGGAAAGACAGCATTGTTCCAATGTGACAATCTTTTTTCAACCCAGATTTCTCTTCAGTGGTGCCTATCCAATCTTCATACTGGGTTGCAGGAGCTTGTCAACAACTTGATCATCCTTTTATGCTGATGCTTGAGTAGCTGGAGGGACTGCTCAAGAATGAAATGCCTATTACATAGCATGCTGCCTTCATTGCCTTTCAGCCTTCTGTGTAAAGGGGGTACAAAATGAACTTCGCTGAGACTGCTCTGCAAATTTCAGCAAGAACGACTTGGGCACACCTTAAACTGAACATAACATTTTAGTATATTTTTTTACCACTGGAGAATGAATCTGGGGTGCAAAAATACTTGATAGGGGATTGGGGTCAATTTGCTCACAGAGCAAGTATGGCAATCTTGTTTGTGACAAACGGACAATCAGCACACTTCTTGCAAAGTTCAGTGAAAAACTGAGCAAACTACTTGATGCAAACTCTGGTTAAAACAAATGTAGGATTTCAAAAAAGATTGCAGGGAAAAGGAAAGTGAGTAAGATAAAAACAGGTATTTATACATTTAGAAATATATTGAAAATAACGACATTCCTGGAGTTAAAGAAAACAGAAGTTTCAAATCTGAAATTCAAATTCATCACATACATCAATTAGCAATGAAACATTCAGAATGCTTCCAAGGGAGGAGGGGGGGTAAACAAAAAAAATGATTCTTTGGAGATTTCTTCAGGACTGAGATTCAGTAGCAAAAAGTCTTTGGCCAGTTGCACCAAAAAAATCACAAACTAAGACTCTAACTTGGACTAGAAACATTGACATGAGTAAAAAGAAAAAAGGCAAATGAGGCAAATTCTTGCACTGGCTATTGCAACTTGCTGAATACTTTCTCAGTTGACTTAAAAATGTATTTTTAAAAACTAGTTCTGTACAAAATATTGGCATGGATATAAAAGAAACAGGCATGCAATAATGTACATAAGCAAACGATTGAGACTGGCCAGGGTGGAACACAGAAATGAGAGATTTTAAAGTTGGCAAGGAACACTGGAATTTGGATAATTCCAATGCTTCATGATGTCTGCAGAACTTTCTGAGATCAGCTATATGAGTCATCACAAAACTGGAATCAAATACGCCAATGTAACAGGCACAACTGATTTTTAAAAATTGGAAGGAAAAGTTTTGATATAGTCTAATTATCTCTAGATCTGGCAAAGCATATTGTAAACATGAATAAGAAAAACTAAGGAAGTAGAAATCTACAAATAATTGTTTCAACTAGCTCAGCATGAAGAGGTCTCCAGAGCAGCAAATGGATCCAAGAAAAAATCCCATAGCAGGTAAGGGATGAGTAGGAAATTGAAGCAATAGAAGAAATGTCCAACATATCAGAATCCTGAATCCTTTGGTGCCTCCAAGAACAAGACAGGCAAAAAACAAAGGTCCAGCAACAATGAGAAACCCAGAGGAGGGAACAAATGAACATTCCAGGAATATCTACAAGGCCCAACTGTATATGATTGGGGAAATCAGGAGAGCCCATATTCGGTGGGAACATACTTGAGCAAAGGGAACTCTGAAGCCATACAGTCATGTACGTAAAGACATCTTGTCAAAGCAACATATAATTAGGAAAGGAATCCAGCAAATTTGATAAGAGCAGTTTTAAATTGTCAGGATCAAACAGAGCAGGGAGTTCAAAAACAGCTAAACTCCCTGTCACAAGCTTCAAAAGAGGAGATGTAAAAAAAAATTGGAGACTGAATGAGGAAGATAAGCAATGCCTCAGTCTTCAGTTAGACTTTTCCATTATTCTTCTCAAGCTGGGTCTCAACATGAGGGTCTTGCATATCGGCTGGCATATGAGCTGGTGATTTGGCTGGGGAGTTGACCAGTGAAAGCAGATGTTGGTCCTTCCGCATTTTTAGTTCTCGTCGTTTGTGGTGCCGGTCGACGAAAAAGCACGTGAGCGTTGCAAGGCCCCCACTCAGTGTTGACACCCCGGCAAAGATGAAGGCTGCATCGTACGAGTACTTGGCCTCAAGGAACCCTTATTGGAAGAATGGATGAAGTAAGGTCCCATGAAAGCAATCAGTGCAGTTCCACAGAGAGAAAAAAAAAATATTTTTATTATTATTTATTTATTTATATTTATATTTATATATATATTTAAGATTGCGGCACCTTAGCCTTATATCCTTGAAAAATGGACTAAATTTTCAATGAAGGAAATAACAGAATAAGTCTGTGCTGAGAGGATGTAGATGTTAGAAATGGATCGATACCAGCGACGGGAGGGCCGACCAGGGCTCCGAGGCCACACCAGAAGAGGATGTACCCAAAGACCATGGTGAGGTTGCGGGGTCCATACACCTCCCCCGGGGCGACGGCAAGCAGGACGTTCTGCATCCCGTAGCACATCCCCATTGCAGTACACAGGAAGATCAGCTGCTCCACCGTCACGATCACCATGTGGTACAGGATCACCGCTCCACACACCAACTGCCAACGATGGAGACCAAATTGCTACAGTTCACTAATCTGCAATCATGGCCAATCATTTCAATTTTTTTTTGGCAGGCACTTCGACCACAAATTTGCATAGTTGACATGAAAAGAAAACCTTGCCAGATAGCCATGGTCCTTCAGGATGAAGTGATTACTTCATCCCCTTCTCCAGAAAATTAAATGAGGCAATTTCCAATACCTTTCCCTGATCTTTCTAACCCCCCCCCCCCATACCTATTTCCCCAACTCTCCCAAGTTTTCGAAGGTTCTGGGTACTACCATTATGATACTTTATCTGGATGAAGAACCTGGATGAGGGCATAGATGAGGACGGAGTCGATGAAGCTCCATGAGGCGAAGGTGCCAGAGAAGAGTCGGCCGATGAGGTCCCCGAGCCCGATCCCAGACAAGGCATAGATGAACCGCTCCTCAATGTTGCGGCTCACTGCGAAGTCCTTGTACATGACGTACAGCGTCAGTGTCCCCATGATCCACATGAACCCTGAGACGTTGAAGCACCAGAAGCGCACGTCCGTCAGGAGGCTCAGGTCGCACAGGTGCTGCTCGAGGATCACCTAGGCACCCAAATTCATCTTGACATGCACCAAGTTCCCATATTAAATGGAGGTTTAGAAAGGAAATGGAGCCAGAAAAAGTTTGATATACAAATTAATATGCAAACCCAGATAACACGTTACGTTGGGCTCACATTGGATAAAGGTGGGAAACGTTGGCGGAACGTGAATGTTGGGGAACGATGTTGGCCTCATGCGGGCCCAACGTGGGCATATCCACACGTTGAAAAAAATTGCAGCACTCCTGGTGGAGAACTTCAAAACCTTGAAGTTCTTCGCCAGGCCACTAGATGTAGGTATAAGGTCTCGCTTTTCGCACAGCACGCAAAAGATCCCTTCCCTCTTTCCCTAGAATCGTCCTTCGCAAGATTGTTTAGTACCTCGCCATATGTCTCGCATAGTCTCATTATAGGAATCAATAAGTGCGGACATTTCATCATTTGTTATCCACTTATTCAAGACAGATTCATGGAGCTCTGGCCATAAACAAACTCATATTCCCGATGAGAATCCTTTTGAAAGACAAGAGAATTTCAACCAAAAAGGAATTCTGAAATGTAGAGGGAGTATCCGTGAACTCAATTCCGACATTTCTTTATCGTCATTGCAAAAGAAGGAAAAGCTAACAGGAAAGATTTTGCGAATACTTCATGGAACAGTACGAGGTGGTCCATCCTCTGACACGTACTGTAATCAGCAGTCAGGGGAAGATCCATGTCTGTACTGTCCTATGTCTCCTGCCTATCAGGATATGTATACTCGTACATGTCCTTGGGAGATTGTAGTATATAGATCAGGTTCCATACTAGAAATGGGAATACCTTCACTGGATAGGGAATCTATGTATACGGTATGAAATGATGATATTGAGCAAAAACCAAATTTGGATAAGTGGGTTATACGTTGCCATCCAACTTACTGCCAACATTGGCCCCACGTTGGCCCAATGGTCACTTTCACGTGGGGCCTACATGAACAACCTACGTTGGGCCAACGTATCCTGACGTTGGAGGACCACGTTGGCCCAACGTGGGCCTCACGAAAAATGTTATCTGGGAATATACTATCTTTCCTCTTGGCAAAACTTGAGAATTTTTAATCTAGCTGGACTCCCTTTGAAATCGAGTCAATAACTTGACAGGTGAGAATTATCATATTTCAATTCCAGATGCAAGATTTTTAACCATTCATGCCATTTTCACATCATTAATGCAATTAATTTTTTGACATTGCAATTGTAGATTGAACATTACTCACAGGATCTGCAAATCTTAACTGTGACTTTGTTAACATAGTCCATAATTTAATTGTCAAAAAGGAAATAAACTCTATCAATGTTTTTTGCATGAAACTGATTTGATCAATTTGGGAGTTTGCTTGAGTTCAAAACAACAATAAAATTATCATCTGATGAAATGCTGGCATGCTTGTAATGCTATTCAAATTGGTGCAAAAGAGCAGATATTGGTCATAAGTGCAAAAATGCTTCATGAGCATCATCAATTAGAAAATAGATTAATTTTAAAATGTTATAAATTAATTATTCTCACTACAAGGACATGGACACAAAAGTACAAAAATAACGAAGTCAGGTAACTTGCAGACAAAACAAATCGTTACAACACTTGCTTCAAACAAAGGCAAACCGACCACATGTCTGCAGTTGGAATATAGGCCAAGAAGAAACAAAATAAACCATCAACTGAGTCCAAGGTGTACTACTGAACCATTAGAAAAAGTTATTCACCTGATAATGAAGTTTCTATAATGGCTACAGCTCATAGAATGCTACGACAGCATCTGTTCCAAACCAGACTAAAGGTTCCAAGTATCAGTGCACAAACACGAAACACGCAGGAAGTGCCGAAACCGGGTACATATTGGCTGTCGATCTGGTTCTGATGGCCTACTGGCAACAAAATGCGGGGAAAACTTGAATGAGCTTCCTGTCTAATTGGTCTAAATTAGTTGGGAATGCCAAAATACAGATGAATGAGATGCCACAATAAAACAAATTCATTTGTTACAGTCATCTACATATATTTGCACTATTTGTACTTTTATTATAGTCACTCATTGTTACAAAACTGCATTTGACTAATCTTGTCATGCATTTGACTGGAATCAATCGAATCAGTCCAAATTAAGCTTAATATTAATTGGAAATTATCAATTAGTAACACCATGTGCCACGAAAACTCCATCTGAAAGTTGACAATGAAGGATTATGAACTCTCAGGTGGCTGCATGTGCTAATCGTTGACATCCATGGATTAACCAAACAAAGAACAAACATGAAAATTGAATATTAGTCAAGGAATTGAAGGACACAGAAACGAATAAAAGTGAGGCAAAACATGAACACAAAAACAACTGACAAGCACGAGACTTGGGACTCAGGGGGACAAAGGAAACCGAACGATACGAGCTAAAATTAAAAATAATAAAAACCATGAAGGCGCAAGGGGGAGGAGGACACGGGGTCGAACCTGCCGCTGAATGTGACTGCATGGGGGCTTGAGCTGCCCCTTCGGGGGAAGCGTGGGGGACGCGAGGGCGGTGAGGGTCGCGCCCAGGTCCGTGTGCGTCTCCGACCCGCACTCGGCCAGCATCGACGTCACGGTCGACCCTGTCGCTCCCACCGGCTGCTGGCGGCATGGATCGTCAAATGCCTTTGTTGTCTGCTGGATTTCGGGGTTCGGTCGAACCGAACTGGCGTCGGCAAACAAACCAATTCCTTCCTAGCATCGCGACAGGATGAGGAAAAATGGGCAACTTCGAGGAATTGGCTATCCTGACAAACGTACGTGGAATGTACAGAAATAACAGCCCAAATTAATAAATGGGATCCAGTGAGGAAAAGTCCCAGTCCAGCATAATTCCAGGCAATGAGGCAGATAACATGCAAAACCTCTTGAGGAAAAAATTAGATTCGGCATTAAAATTTCCCTTCGCTAATTTCATTAATCATTTTCATCGTGTTCTCAGCCTCGTAGGTTTCTAGGCTTAATTTCCTCCTCCACACACGATGAAAAACAACGGCAGGAAACATACCTGTTTGGGATGGAGCGGACTTTCATCGATATGGTCGCAGGACCCATCCCGCCTGATCCCCATCTCCACGTCGTGCGACTTCGCCCGGGAGATCTCGACGAAGACGGCGTTGTCCAGCTGCTGGTTCTCGGCCCTCTCCGTCTCCTCGTCCTGGATCGGCGTGATGCGGAACCTCCCCCGGATCTCCTGTTCCTCGGCGGCGGAGAGGGTCGTCGCCTCCTCCCCCTTTGAGTGGAGGGTCGCCTCCGCCTTGGTGGCGAGGGTCGGGTCGCTCCGGTGCAGCTCCGCTGGCTTCTTGGTCAGCTTGGATGCCTCAGCTGAGAGACAAAGACGGGAGCTGGTACTTCGGGTAAATGTGCATCAATTTTAATCCATGATTTAGGTGATTTTTTAATACTGCAATTCAGATTATTCAAGTAGTAAATGTTCTTAGGGGCAAAAATATTCAGAGGCGAACAGTCAGACTTATATCATAATTAGGGAGCGGATTTTTATGCAAATGCATTTTTTTCTGCAGCCTCCTATGAACATGCATATAAACATGATGGAGGATGACTCCCCAAACCTTGCACATTTCTAGATTTTTAACATTAAAAATAAAATTGCACATAGAGCAGAGATGAGAATGAACTTCGTTGGGGAAGAAGACATGGGCATACGAGGTGGTTTGGAGGCTCCGCCGAAGTTCTTCTCGTTGGCCTTCTCCGAGATACGGGGCAGGGGATCGACGGGGGCAGGGGGGTGGTCCGGGCTGCCCTTCGAGGCCGGCTGGGGCTCGCGGTTGACGACCTCGCGGGAGACCCGGCGGATCATCTCCACGTTGGTCGTGGACCCGATGTTCTCGTCCACTTCTTCGATCACGCCTGCTCCGCCGATCGGTACCGTCAGGTACGGAGCGTGGAACTTCTTCTTCTTCTTCTTCTTCTTCACCTTCTCCACGTCCTCGAGCTTTGCCTCGACCACCACCTGCAACGAGACGCGACACGGTTCCAGCGAGGCGCCCACACCGCCCGAACGCGAATGCAGCGAAGCGGACCTCCGGCACCGAAGCGGACGGCTCGTCCTCCTCCTCCAGGTCCTTCCTCCGCTTCGTCGAGAACAGCGAGGCGATCGGAGTCTCGATCATCTTCTTGATGTCCTCCATCACGTCCACGTCCTCCATCTCCTCCGGGTTTGCCACCGGGTGACGGAAGAACGGGTGACGCAGCACCTCCTCTCGGAAACTCTGGCTCCTCTCCCTAGTCCAAGTAATTTAAATTGCTTACCGATTGCAAAACTGCATAATACCAGCCACCCGTGAAACATTCGCACCTTCCTAATAGAGGCTCACTGACTTCTGCCCCACAGCATTTAACCCTTCAAGCCGTTTTCACGTACGCTGTACGTGCATCACTTAGGAGGTCAAGTCAAAACTCAGCGCTTGAAGGGTTAAACGAGATACACCGTATGGATTTAGAACTACCAAGTATCAGAAGCAGGTGTGGGATGTTTCTTGCCATTAGAGACACCCAATTTCTATTTATGACAATTCCCAGCGAATTCCGCCCCTTAGCATTCAAATGAGATGCGCCATTCGAATTTTGAGCTACTGCACGATATGCAGATCGGCTCGATCGAACACGATGATCGGGTTTGTAGCTCGAAATTCCAATCGGCCCAGGAGAGGAAAATCTGTCCGTGCAGGCCACCAGCGGGCAAAAAAAAGTCAGCTATTATATAGATGGGCAGAGTGCATGTTCTGAATATAATAAATTGTAATTTCCCCTTCAGTCTATCTTGAAGCAAGACTGGAATGCTAATGACTAAATGGTGCAGGATCTGCATCTAGGATCTGCAGGATCTGCTTGGAGTGAGCTTGATGAAGCTCGTCCCCTCGCCGACGTTTTGGAATTGATTTTGTTTCAGGATTTATACCATTCGAGAGGAAAATGCGCACACTATGTTTTAAGACCGAACAATAGTGTAATTTGGTTGGAAAAGGCTGCTTTGATTTCCTGTTCGTAGAATGTGGAGGTCGGACTCAAAAGTATTCGTCTCAACTGCCCAACTGGCACCGTTTTCAGTTATCTCGGTGTCTTTGGTGAGAATGAGGACATGATTGAAATGCTCAAATTATTGCCTTCCGTCCATGGAATACACGAAGAGCTAGACGGCAGACACCCTCGTTGAGACTGAAATTTCTGGGTCTAAAATATGAACCTAAAATATGATGGTGAATTGGGAGCAATATAAACCTGAAAAGGCTGATAACAACATTGCAGGCTCCTTCAATCAATCAAACCATTGATCCATCGAATCTGTCATTTCTCTCAATTCTTTTCTTGCAATCATCAATAAAGAGAAACGAAAATGTATTTAACCTGAATGACAGTTCGATGCCATTGAAGCTCTCGTTGGAGCGCCACGCCGGCAGGGACATGAAGCTGTCTGAGCTCGCTCCCATCTGCGACTGCTGCCGCGTCGCCTCCGTGAGGCTCCGGATGGAGTGCGAGAGGTAGGCGGCCGCGGGCGAGAACTTGATGTCACGGATGGAGCCGTGGAGGGAGCTGGGGCCCGAGGAGGCGGTCCGGGGCCCGAGGGAGGACGCCGACTGGGAGCGGCGATGGAGGGGCTGCATCTCCGGAACGCGGGCCACTCCGGGCACGATGGTCACGCTGTTGAACTGAATCAGCTGTTGAACCGCCTCCTTTTCCTGCGCCTCCTTCTTCTTCTCTGCATCTCCTTTCGTCTCTCCGTCTTCCTTTTTCTCCTCAACTTTCTCCTCTTCTGTGCAGCAGAAAAACACAAATAAATTTTTGATACTAGGAAAACGGTTGGTTCGCCTGTGCCACTTGTGTCCTCAAGTCATTCAAGTGTGCTGCTGGTAGCCATAAGGCACCTCACTTGGTACATGGCAGACAAGAGTAGCTCAACTACATCAACGATCATATAAATGCTCCCTCAGGAGTCTCAAAGTCACTACGGCTTTGGGACGAATGAAATAATAGTTCATTTCCAGTTTTAGCTATTTAAAAATTATTTTAATTTTATTCTGATTAATTGTTTGAAATTCTCCAATTTCAGTCAGGTCAATCAATCGTAAATGTTCATCACCTCATTGAAAATTGAGAGGAATCTCTCCTATTCCTGGAACCTAAAATACGTCTTGTTTAAAAAAATAATAATATTTTTTTTTGCAGAAGTATCTGGCGCTCATTTTTAGCTGCCTATGCAAAAATTATGAATGTTGCTAAAAGCCACTCACGACCTCTCAATTATAGTCAAGGCTCATCATAAGAAGTTCTCAACCATGCACACACAGTTTGGTGGGAAATATCAACAAGTCCAATAGCAAAGGACATTGGACAGTACAATAAACCGTTAGCATGCAAAATAAGTAACTCGTGGATGGCTAAACAGCGAGTCAACGAGCAATGCATTTTTCCTAATATTTTTTTGATAATTTTTTTAAGGTCTTAAAGACCTTAAAAAAAAATTACTCTTAAACTCCTAAGGAGGCTTTTTCCAGCTACTGTTAATCACATTCAGTCACCAATGTGATATGCATGGGGACGAAAGGTCTCACTCTGTCATTGTGGAATACACCTGGCAGATCGATCCTGCCCCATCCTTCCCATTCTGAGAAATGTTCTTCCTATCCCATGGAATATCCCATGAGATGTCAACTTCTATGACAATGCTTTAGATGAGATTCTGTTGGTACACCATGTTACAAACGTAGGCGCTTCTTCGTATATAGGACAACTAGTCACTGAATTGCAGTTTTTTTCTTTTTTTTATTGAGGATGACGGACTCATACATAAGGTGGGCTCACCAAGAGATTCCTTCTTCTCTTGCTCCTCCTCTTCGTCCTCATGCTGAGTGACGACGACGATGGGAAAGACGAGAGCCCCAAAGACGCAGAAGTGCAGGGCGAGCCCCGCGTTGATGAGGCAGGACCCCCGCCAGCTGTAAAAGCTGACGCAGGCCTCGACGGCCGGGCCGAGGAAGAACAGCCCGCACCCGAAGCCGGTCATGGCCAGGGCGGTCGCGATGGAGTGCTTCTGCTGGAAGTACGTCCCCAGAGCGATCACCCAGCCGCTGAAGTTCAGGCTCAGACCCAAGGCTGCCAGGGAAATATTGATAGAAAGCCTTCAAGCAACAGCAACAGTCTGCATTACAAGCCGATTGCTGTCAAAGAAATCGGGCATTTCTCGAATAGGGTCCCACGTAAAAATATTCGAACATAGCGATATCAGAAAAGAAATGAATGTGAATGCATTTCTTTTTCATTTAATTTTGACAGCGAACGTTTTCAAAACTGCAATGCGTGACTCTACATCAAAACTTTTCAACATCATTCAACCTCGCAAAACCATCAAACATGCTCATATGTATGCAAATTAAGGCTTCTTTTAAACTAGCGAATAACAATAAAAAGAGAGGGAAGGCTGCATTAAAAAAAAACTGACCAGCCAGTATTCCATATGTGAAGATGGCCACTCCCAGATTGGGTGCCCCAGCAGTCCCGAGGTACCCGATGCTCGCACATATCCCGCCGATCATGATGGTGATACGACAGCCGAATCTGAGGATGAGGTACGATGCCAGCGGACCTAAAGAAGCACAGGCATCTTTCACCTTCCCATTCTTGATCCTCAATCATATTTAAGCGTCCAGCCTATCTCCGTCACGTTTAACCCTCCCTTGCTGTCTGGGATCGACCCCATGAAAACTCCTGAAATTATAACGATTTATGATTTGTGTGGCCCAAATACATATCGGATGTTTCGTGGTTCATTGGGACATTTTTTATTCATTTGTATACGTTGTGTTCTGTCCATGAATGATTATCACCTTATCTGACTCGTCGCCCTGAATCTAATCAAATGTGGTGAGAAAAAGAATGGGGTCATAAGAGACAGCCTTCACGCTATTTTCGAGCTGACAGCAAGGGAGGGTTAAGCGTTCAGCCTACCACTATCCCCAGTTAAATGCCAACCTCCATCCCAATTCAATGCCAACCTTTGTCCCCAATGTAACGGTTCTATAACATAATGTCGAAAGCCACAATGTCGTCAGATTTTACATCGACTAGCAAAAACGTCGAATGCCACACAATGTCGAATGGACAATGGTCGAATGGGCATGATGTTGATTGTTACAATACCGAAGGCGTCAAAATGTGGGGAAACGTCGAATCCTCAAGATGTCGAAATCCAGGTATTATTTTCCGTTCCTTGGGTCCTGATATAATCAAGGAGAGGAGATTACTTCTTTCTTCTCTGCTCCCTTGAGGCAGCGAATACTGCTTTGTTAGCTTATCATTTGTCTGCATCAGTAAGCGTTGGCGGAGTTGATTACATCAGTAACAAGCGCACTTCCTCACAAATGCAAATTGCTGAAAAGAATGTTTTCAAGCGCGAGAGATGGAAATAATCTTGACAGGATATCACGCACGAAAGCTGAAGAATCAAGGGAAAAACGCATTCATCAAATTGTTTCTTCCTACTCCGACCGCGAATTGCATGATTACTTGCGTGCAGTGGCACATAATGTTCAGTTTTGAATGCCGCATGTCAGAGGTTATCACATTTATAACCGCCAATGAGTTTGCCTTTCTTTCTGGAACATGTGCATTTCTCCCGTGTTCGGCATGACGAGTTTTTAAGACTTCATTGACAGAATAAATAAAAGTCCACTTCGACTTTTCTCTCTTTCGACATTTTGACTTTCAACATTTCATTCCTTCGCCGTTCAGGAATTCGACATAGTTGGTAATCGACAATCGGACAGTCGACATGTGTGTTTTCGACATTTTGACGAGATACGAGACTTTTCTCTCTTTCGACATTTTGACTTTCAACATTTCATTCCTTCGCCGTTCAGGAATTCGACATAGTTGGTAATCGACAATCGGACAGTCGACATGTGTGTTTTCGACATTTTGACGGGATACGCAATGTAACGCCTACCTCCGAGAAAGAAGACGGATGTGTAGAGCGACCCCACCCAGGCTGTCGTGCTCTTGCTCTTGCCGAAGGTGAGAAGGAACTCGTGGTAGTAGAGCCCCACAGTATTATAAAGTCCTGGAAAAAGTCAGACGCATATGATAACATTATGAGCTGAATCATGGGCAACCCTCATTAAATAAACGCAAAAGGTCTAATATTAACGTCGAATGCCTTACATCTCATGAACTCATCTCATGCAGAAAAGCTTCTCAGCACAAAAACAGGGATGAAATTATTACTAATTATCCTAGACAGGGCTGGGATTAATCAATTGCATTATCACATATATACCCTTCTCATTTGTCTGAAAACAAGAAATTCTTAAAACCTTATATTCTTTAAAATTTGCGTAAAATCAGACCTAATCTAATAAAATGTGCAAGTTAACCTTTTATTTCAATCTTTTTCATTAGCTGTAACTAGACAACTTAATGGTTATAATTGGTTGCGATCGAGTTTGAAATACCCTCCTTGAGGGGATTGTGAACTTGCGATTATGGAGGGGACAAGTGCCTCATGAATGAATTTGTGAGTGAAACATACATAACATAATTAAACACTTATTTCAGCCCCCGAGAGAATGGGAACTCTATCATGCTAGCAGTTGTTTCATCTATTCATTTCCAAAGAATCTCTTCAAATTACTTAGCCTAATTAGTATCACATGTTTTCATGAAAATGCAAGGACTATCGAGCTTTACAAGTTTACGGCGAAATCTACACGAATGGCTAAATTTTTGTATCAGGGTCCATTAGGTCCAGAATGGTAGTTACAGAGTTAAGGTCTATCTCTTTCTAGTTCACGTTCAGATAATGCAAAGATAAAATAAATTTGAGGTCAGCTTTCCTTTCCCCTTTCAGACCTGAATTACGCGGCCACTATCGGAATAATATACTTTTTGTATTTTTGAGCTCTTTCCCTATTCTACTTTCAATTTGTATGTTCTATACATCGTTTTTATATATTGTATAAAGTTACCATATCATACCATATATTATATGCTTTACAAGTAATTACATAACTGAAGATTACAAAACTGACGGGTGAGAGAAGGCCTCCGACGAAATTGAGCCATGCATAATTGAGGCCATTGTAGTGTAATATGGAGCGCAAAGTCACGAGAATCCCAAGAAATTACCATTGAAACAATGAAAATGAAATATCTATTGGAATGGACGCGGGGTCTGAAAGGTAGAATATGCATATATTTGAAATACGCAGATGACACCCTTCTCGTGGCGTCAATCAGAGAAGTTCAGCAGAATTCAACTATTACGCCTCAATTTTTTATGCCCTTCGCTCACCAATCTGCAACCCAGAGCGACTGAAAACGCCAAAAGCCCCGTTCAGACAGTAAAAACAGCGAAACGTTCAGGATCGATTATAGATCAAGATCTGAAACGCACTCGTAAAAAAAAAAAGTTTGCCCTTCAAGTCGGTTTTCTCGCGATGGATTCCCTCAAAACTGCTAAAAATATTGAGTTCATCTGAAACTTTTCCCACAGAAAACACTGGAATAATGACGGACATTCAATATCATTCCACACAATATGATTGTAATTCGGATCGAACTTTTGAACAGAAACATTTCTCCGTAGGACAAAATTAAAAAGAAGTATTTCCCTCTCACAATATATTTTGTGAATCCGATTGATCTCATTATGCGATAGAGGCCTCAGGTTTTCTTACTTTTTGCGACTTCCCATTTCCCCTCGTAACAAAGCGATGCCAGGTGAAAAAAAAGTCATCATTCTCATTTTCGTAGAGAAATGAAAGGACGTGGCTTTCACAGTGAGCAAGTCGAATGACTTCTAGAAGATCAAGGGAATGGGAGATCGAACATTTTATTTTATGCATTTTTTTGACCTAATATAATTTTTATTTTCCAACAAACCTCTAGTACTGCAGCTGTCATGATACGTAGATGTCACCGTTGGTGATATTTTTGCATCACATTGCATCGGTCAACGAAAGGAACACATAAGAATGAAAATTCCCAAGTGCATAAGCGATAAAGGATCCCCGCAAAACCTCGAGAAAAAAAAGACACCTGCGACGAGACGACTCAAGCTACTTCAGGGATCGGTTTCGTTTTTACTCTTCACGAGTAAAAACGAATCGAACATGAATCGATGCACAATCGAGGCACTGATGTCATCGCGACAACCCTTTTTAGCACAAAGTCAAGGTCGCTCTTCCCCTCTCTGATGTTCTAACCAAAATCCAATAATATTTAGAGTTGCTTCAGAGTAAAATAAAACAGATCCTCACATTTGCCTTCGAACTGTTTAGCTCGACTCTTACGACACGCAAAAATCCCCCTTTTCGCATGATCTTATGATCATGCAACATTTCTAACACGACCACATTTGGCCTTTCTCGCATCGTTCCCTTTTATCACATTCACCAACAGCTAATTCTTATTTCTTTTGGTCTTCGTCTCGTCAGTGCATCCCAGCAAAATCTAATAATAAAAAGGATTAATCCTGGGCAGGACAGAACTTAATCAGTTCCCTCATCAGAAATTAACTAGCTCATAATTTCCTCTCTAAATACGGCAGAAGACACAACATCTTCAAGGGAATGACATGAAGTATCCCATCATGGGATACTTCATCATCTGAGCCCATAAAATTTACATGCAGGTCACTTTTCCGATGCTTGACTTGATTTATTTACGTATGTAATCACTTAGCTAAATATTTGACTACTCCAATCAGGAGAAACTTGCCGACATCGGTATGCTACATATTAGCGGAAAATTTCCCCGCTGTTTTCACAATGCCTTGTAGTTAGAAATTTACCTCCTGCTGAAAGATTAAGATAATCCAGAAAGGGGCGAAATGGGCACTGTTTGACTGAGTGTTCTTGAAACCGGAGAGTAATGCTGGTGGGTTTCTCTAATTTTCTCTTTTAACTGCGTGTTACTTTTGTAAAAAAAAAAAAAAAAAAAAAAAAATCCTCCAGAAGTAAAAAAAACTCGTGCCGAAAAATAGTTTGGTTTTCCAGCTCCTTGAGAAAAACGCGAAAACCTTCCCCAATAAAAATGTTGAAATTTTGTGCTTTGGTTTCCATAGGGCAAATATTAATATTGTATTGCATAGTGTGGACTCAGAGCAACAAATTATTCTTCACGTCAAAATGGACGCTAATGTTCATTTTCGTTAGCGGCATGGGATGGTATTGGTCCGAGACTGCAAGCATAAGCTATTGTCATTCGGGAAGTCTTAAAACCATGAGTCTTGAGACAGTGTTCAGGATACCGTAGAACATTTTCCCCATTGATCCATGCAATACAGGATTAAGTTGCAAGTTTTGCATGCAACCATCCTCACGGGGTACCCATGACCATCAGATCAGACTTTGTCCTTTTCCCTTCAAATTGGGCTTATTGGGTAAATTAAACGTATATACCAAATACGGGTATTACTTTCTTCAATATCGGTTTATCAACAAATCGAATGGGCGGAATTCAATATCGTTGCATCTCTAACCACTGCAAAACTCGTAAGAGTGCCTGGTACTTTCAGCAAAAATATGTCATCACAAATATCAAGATTCAAAACCAACTAACAAAATGAACATTTTTTTCATCATCATCAATCAATCCATTTTTATTTCCATTGCAAAGAAAAACTGGGAAAAGGAAGAGAACTAGACGACAAATTTGACTAGAAAATACAATGGGGACAAGAACACAAAATAAAATTTAAAAAATCATGAGACTCCACAAAAGGAAAGAGAAATAAGGAAAAGGAAGCGAAGAGTTTCAAGGTTCCCAAAATAACCTGAAGGATAGCCCAGAGTTGCCCTGCATGCCTTCTGGGATAGTCCTGACATGCAAATTAGGAGTTACCTTGGAATTAATGTGCCAGGTATCTCTTTTTAAGCACGCACTTTTTCTGCTGGCCACAGTTCATAATACAAACTCGGATAATTGATTACATCCGGAACTGAGTATATCCGAGCAGAGCTAAGATTACCGGCTTCATACGGTCGTCTTGAGTTCAGTGGGATAATCGGCATCCAAAAATTCAGATTATCCATGCAGTATTGTCGATTTTTGTGATTTTTCGATTTTGGCCAACATCTGCTTTAGAATCACGGGAAACATCAGGCAAATGTGTTCCTATCACAAAAGACTGGTCTTCCTTCTGTGAGAAGAATTCGCCGGCTCATGACATCCTCTTGTTCTTGATGCAAGGAATCAATCCTGAAATTGGCCACAGTCCTCAAACCTCACTCAAGATGGACCAGCTTGAGCATGCTATTCTACCCAGAATTTCAATGTCCATAGTAACCCTCTCTAAATTGCCACAATACCAGATTTCGTCAACCCATAAATGCTTCCATATTCGGCACATAAATCTGCGGTTGCCAGAAAAAGTGCGTGCTAAATGCCATTGAGTTTTTTTTTTTTTTTTAGCAATGCAGCTGTTTTGAAAACATCGGTGCATCGACCAGAACTATCGAAAACTGACATGGACGCATCGGTGACTTTATTTGCCGCACCAGAACGGTATGGAGGACGGGGTGTTGCCTTCTGATATATCTTGTTGTGATTAGAGGGGTTGCCTTTGTTGTTTCTTGCCGTGATCGATCGATGGAGATTGCTGCGCGAATGGGAGCGCGAGGACCATTGCAATCACTGATAAAATCATCGATGCCTCCAATTATCACTAGTGACATTGATACATTGTAATGGCACCGGTAGGCCATAATAAAAGTGATGTTAATTAAGGTGTTGTTTGTAGCTTTTGCAAGCATAGGAGTTGCTTAATTATTAGCTGGGTATCTGCGCGTGTAGCCATAGCGTTTTTGGTATCTCATATTTATATGAGCTTTTTTGAAGTTGAGCCTGTCCATAGTGCAGTCACATCCAGAGCAATATATTTTATCCACAAAATGTACTAAGCAATCTTACAAATGAATCGGCAGAAGCTTCAACATTTAGTCTTAGGCAGTGGCTGAAAATTCCACTAGCCAAAGTCTTTCATGCTCTTTTTTGGTAGAGATTTGTCTGTGAAAAAAAAAAGTGAATGGTTCTCATGGAACCCGTGGCTAAAGTCACTTGCTTTAGAGGTCATCTTTCTGTGATAAATGGGAACCCATCAATTTAGTATTATGTTTATTCCATATATGAATTGAGAAGCCTGAAATCAGTCTAAGTCACCTTATGATTACTTTAACAGGAAATTAAAGCAAGGTTATTTAGTTATTTGGTGTTTGATGTGACATTTCCTGAAATTTTATTTTGAATATGAATCTGAATATGCATTTTATTGTTCATTTAAATATCACTAAAATGTGAACAATTGGAATCTTCTCTTCACACCTGTATTTCCAACCTGAGCTGTATTTCCAACATATCAATGAGAATCATGAGTGAGGTATTTATAATGTATGATAAAAATAAAATATTTCCATTCATTCATGCTGTCAGGGACGAGACAATGAATGAAATAGAATGCAATATCTGCGCATTTAGTGAAATTTCATGTTTGAGCTCTCTGGACCACTTCACATGGACTGACCCAGTTCATATGTGTTAGGGGACAAATAGCTAACTGAATACTTACTTATCTAATACCAGAGTTGGTATCCCGATCTTCAAATATTGGGCAGTACCATCTCTATGGTTCAGGTGAGTCATTATTTGCTTTCCTTTTTGATAACCATAAATTTGTAAAAAATATAATTGCAACGACTGCATAGCTACACCCTAGATGAACATAAATTACCTCATATGTGAATATAATATGGTTAAAAAAAAAGGGTTTCTTTGGGTCTGTTTTAGCACTAATCTTCAACTTCTGAATTTGCACAATTAGCTCATTAAATTACACACTTTAAGCTTTGGACATATTTTTTCAAATTTAGCATACTATACAATCAAATGTCAATATATTTTGTAGTATGCAATTTTTGTAGATCTTGTCTATTTACTAACAAAAAGTCCAGTTAACCGGTTCATGCTAGTGAGGATTAGAGAAAATTATGAAATTGGATTTAGTTGGAAAGAGTTTGGTAAGTTAGAACCATTTATTATAGCTAACATCTTGAATTATTGTATTAATGGATTCTTTAATAGGAAACATGTGTATAACCAGCATACTATATATACCTCCATACATTACAAAATATTGTACTTAATAAATGTATAAAAAAGAAAAAGAAATGATATTCCATGCATTATCCTCCTACATGAGTTTCTTAGGCACTTACATCCAACAAAGTTGTTTCTCAGACTAATAGCTCACAAACCATTCTGGAGAAATACTCTTAAATTCTAGATGTTCTAACTTAATAGGTAATAAGAAATTGAGTCAAGAGCTTTCTTCAAATCAAGAAATATTCTAAAAGCAGAGTCCAATACACCAATTTCACTCTCTAACTTGAGGAACAGACTACAGGCTTTATGTAGGCTAGTTAAAAATACTCTTTTCAGGCCACAATGAGGTTTTCTTTTTAAAATGCTCTTTTGTTTATAGTAAAACCCAGACTCAAGGCTAAGCAAATGCTTAGGCTTAGTGGCATGCATAGGCAAAACAAGCCCCTCCCCTCAATCCTCTCCTTGCCATGCACCTCCACCTCCCCCTGCTGCTTGGCATTCAGGTTCCATAATATAAAGCCCCCCTCTTCCAAAAATCCTACATGTGTCACTGTTAAGTCCTAAACTTAACATTGAACTTAACTCCTACTCTCAGTATGAGCAATGGCTATGAATTTTCTTTCTTAACCCTTTCAGTGCCTAGGCCATTAAACTTATTTTCTTTGAGAATTTGAAAATCTTATTGAAGATGCTAGCTGTCAGGACAAACCTTCCTCAACATCACAGACCAGATGCCATTACCATCTCAGAATATATATAACCCTCTGACCAAAGCTGGTGTGCTGATCAGATCAATGCTGGCAACTTAGGCAGAGAAGGTGTGCATCAATATGATCAACACCAACAATGAAAGAGTTAAGAATATGAGTAATAATGGACTACCCATGATAAATTTTGATGTCTGACAGACCTTGCTAATTAAATTTTGACAACAGTTTATTTCTAGATGTAAGTCAGCCAATGAGCAAGCAACATGACATTCCAGAGGCCATGCATACCCAACACCAATATTCTACCTGAAAGAAGGGAGAATGCAAGGAAGCCTCCAAGAAGGACGACCCAGGCCCAACCCTTGTCAACGTCCCTCGGATATCCATCGTCTGTGTCATCATCTTCGTCGTCGAAAACGGCAGGTGCAATGGACTCCAAGGCCAAGATCTCATCGATGTTTGCTAGAGTTTTCTGCTCTTCTGGGAGGTTTGGATCAGTCGCAACTTTGGAGATTTTTAAAAGGGGGATGGATTCGGGGTTTCCTGGCTGAGAAGCCACATCAGCACCAACTTCCTCGAGATTCAAGCTTTCCTGCTTTTGCTCTTGGGCCATTTTTGCAATGTTGAAGGTGTAGGCATAGGCGTCGGCCTATGAAATCTGATGGTGATTACTCACATTTCTCGCAACTCGCACCTTGAGCCCTAGGCCCTGTTGTAGCCTACAAGCCCAAGCTATCGAACCTGAAAGAATCAGTCCGTATCACCTGAGCGCTCAATAAGTCTAAGCTCTTCAAGTATGAAAAGGCTCCAATGTTAGGCCGAGATTACACTGGGCATAAAGTGAAGTCTTTTATTGACACGAACAAGGCCTGGGCTAACAGTTTAACGCCAGACATGTCAATCACGAAAGTCTTGCCCATCAGCATCTCCAACGCTGTCAAACATGACAAAAAGCAGAAAGCAAAAGAAAAACGGCCGACAAGTGAAGAGAGCCGCCATATTAGGATGGCTCGCTAGCTGTGTCGTCTGCCAGGCCTCGTCGGCATTAACTCTGCTGCGCATAATAATTGCCCTTGCCTCCCCTTCCGCCTCTCTCGGCTCCGCAACGCAGAACAAAAAACTGTGCTAATCTCTCCTTCGAAGAATCGCGGTTAGCTCTGGACAGTGGCAACGAATTTTTGTGCGAAAGACGTTGTTGGCGGAAGGTTCATTCTGCCTCGTACACGGTTTCTATGCATATAATCACGCCAAAAACCACGTCAAGTGGGAAAAAAAGTGTCTCATATGAGCTTCGCTGACAGCATTACAAGACCCTCCTGTTGATTCGCTTGCAGCAATCTCTAAGTACTGATCAAAGAATGCTGTCCTCTCCTGTGTCGTTCTGACAAAACGGTTTCCGCGACATCATTTTTAGCCGACAGAGCAAAATTCTTGCCTTATGCCGGTGTGATTACCGTCGAACAAGGTCAGACTGAAGTTTAGCGTCTTGTTAAAAATTTTGAGCTGCAATCGAACACTATCCTCGAATAGTCCTGCGGCGCAGGCAGACTTTCTCAGTTCGACACGTCTTTCACCCAAGTCACAAATTTCCTTGGCGCTTAGAAGCTCAGACCTGGCATATCACAGCGGTTCCACCGTCGGCTGGATTCGAGAGGGTGGGTATGCATCCGGTCGATGACACTGTCGCAAGAGCAGCACTGTGATCACTTAAATGGATGAAGCGAGGGGAAGATGAGCGAGACAAAACGGATGCGAGGAGGAGGAGGAGGAGGGGAGAACGAATCCCATTGCCCTTGAGCGTCTTCCCACATCTGGCTCCCATGTTTTCCTCCAGGACTCAATGGGAATAATGTTAATGAGCAAGGACGTAGAATCATCTCGGGAAATCTGCTTGAGATGAGGTTGGCTTCATAACCGCCCTTGCTTCGTTTCCTCCTCGCTCTCTATTATTTCTCTCAATATATATTTAACAATAGCAACACAGTATCGCATAATATTCGCTACAAGAAAAAGTGCTAGAATGAACTTAGAAATGAGGAAATCAAAGTGAAAGGGAAAGATTTTCGAGGAAGTCGAGGAATGTCCTTGGTGTTTTTTCAATGCTGCAAAGATGCAAGTAGATGCAGAGGCAAGCGTCCCATGTTCTCTCGGAGATCGGCACCATTCCAGAATTTCTTCATAATTTTGTGAAAATCAATTAGTAAATAAACTCCATGCGATAAAACATTCATGTCCAGGAGGATCTTTCCAATAACTCACCCAGGTTTCATAGAAATTTAGGCCGACAAGTGCCGAATTATTCTGTCTTTGATTTGTCTGTTTCTCATTTTCCAGCATGAGTTCACGGGTCTTTCAAGGAAGTTCCTGGGAATCCAGCATATTCATGAACTCAAATAAATTATTGGAATGGATTCGCAACCGAAAGAGGCGATGAAATCGACATCGATCGCTCTTGATGATGTCAATGAAATTTCTTGAGAACGCCCTTTGAGGTTCAAGACTTGGATGAGGGGTGTCTCCAAAATTGTCGAGGCTTCGTCGAAGCATGTGAGCCCACGTCGACTCCAAAGTCGAGGTCGAACTCTCAAGATATTTTTCTATTCGATCCATGGCCTAGTTACGGTTACATCGTTTCCTTTTTTTCGCGCTCCAGCCAGGACTGCGTCTAACCGCAGTCAGGTGAATCCAAGGATGAAATGCCAGAGGCTAGTGGATTTGGCGGCAAACAAAAATCTACTCCGAAAATCCTTCATTTCAACGTCGGTCACCTCTGGAGCATGTCGCTTTAGGACAGACCTTGGTAAGGAGATCCCTACCATGCCCCCGATGCCGTGTCCCGGTGCCGTGCCCTCGGTGCAGTGCCCCCGGTGCCATGCCCCGGTGCCATGCCCCGGTGCCATGCCTCTGGCGCCAGAGCGCCTATCAACTGGAGAGTAGAGTATAATTAGAGGCAACACTCAAGTCGACTCTCTTTCATTGACAGGGTTGCAATACAGATGTCACTGTCGACCCTCCATAGATCGGGCACCATAGAGAGTACACAAGGGAGAGGCGGTGGGAGGGCGAGTCTCTCCAGAAACCCCCAGAGGCCTGAGAGTTGACAGGCCTACCATCGGTCTCAACCGAAATGGGCAAAACTGGCTTCCTTTTGGATCTTACGTTAGATGTAAAAAGACCATTTGGAGTAACTCACTTGAACTTGGCCGACGTGTGAAGGAGAATCACCTGCCTGGGCTCGGGACTATGCTAATGGGGGCTGGAAAGTGGGCGTCGATTCGAGCCTCGTGCCAAAAGTTAACTACTGCAGAGCCCGGGCTCCAAAAGGACAAAAACATTTATTCATTTCCTCTGTTGAAACATTGTTCCACCAGCGCTATATCAATGAATGTATGATTAAAAGTATGACGCCAGACGTTTCATCAAGCAGCATGCTCCCAATCCAAGTGTCTCATCGCTGTCCAATATTGTGCTCTGGTGTTACTCACAAGACTCACTTATAAAGTTGATATACATCCACGTGTCAGTGAAAAAGGGAGATTATCCTCCCGAGATTTACGACCCTTCCCTTTAAAATAAATTTTTGTCGGGCTTCCCTCCAGTTCCAATATGGCGGAGGCACTTTTTTTCCTCACAGGGCAGATACATCTATATTCACTCTATGGCGGGCGCACGTCAACGACTACGCCATGGCCAAGCAGCAGACTCAACGAGACACTCGCATTCCATTGTGGGACTCTCAACCGAATCCCGGAACGAGTCGAATCCCGATTGCGCTGCCAAGGCAGTGTTGTATGAATCCACTAGATGACGCCTCCAGTCGCTATCCGCTTTCGCCCTTCACTCTGCGCTCAGCACCTGACGAGCCCAGGCGTCTGCCCTCAACTCAAGGCCTCGTCCACACCGGAAAGGTTTCTCGTTTCTTTCCTAACGGACTTGCAAAAAATATTTTCGCCTGAAAGTCTTTGGAAGTTTCGTTTGCGAGATATGTTCTGATCTTTCGGGTTTCTGATTTTTCTGATTCGTCAAATATGTCAAAATTTTAAAATAAACACTGGCGGACACCTAGATCTCCCAGAAACACACGGCTGTGTTTCATATAGGCTCACCGTGACAACATTCCAAGTCAATTTCGGCCTACATGTGGTTCTATCATAAACGTACGTGACTGTACCCATTCGGCACCACAACGTTGTATCAACATTGAGAATAGGTTGAAACGTTGAGACTTGGTTGAAGTTGAAAATTCGACGAAAAATCAACATCAATGAAATGCTAGCTATTCATAATTAACCGTATTTTCAGCATTTGGTGACTACTCGTGAATTAGGGAAGTACTTGGTTGAAGTTGAGAATTCGACGAAAAATCAACATCAATGAAATGCTAGCTATTCATAATTAATCGTATTTTCAGCATTTGGTGACTACTCGTGAATTAGGGAAGTCGTTCAGAGGCTATTAGGAGCAAATAAAAAAAAATCGTATTCTCAATGTTGATTTTACGTGGAGTTACCACATCATATCAACAGAACATAGGTTCTACGAATCAACGCGAGATGGCACATAACCGCCAATTCCGCAATTCTTATCCTGATGCCTTTAATAGCCAGTACCCTGCGTTTTTCAAACAATACCCAATCTTTTCCCATTTACAGCATTGGGGAAGGTATAGGAATTTCTAGATAGACGTGTTGAAGGAGGTAATCAGACAGAAGGAGACCCAAAGTACTTCTGGCTCGTGGGTCCGAGAAGACATGCTCAGTTTTCCTAAATCTCCACATGGCACGCGCCTTCACTCAGAGTCTTCCATTATGGATAGAGTATAAAAACCATGCCCGCGAGGTTGTTTTCCTCTACTGGACCGAGAGGTACTTGAGTCATGCAAGCACTCAATGTGAATTCTCATTCAGTAGGGGAAATAAAACTCTGTGGGTCCTTTACGTGGGATGATTGTACTCGGTAGGGTACTGCTTGTATCATACCTATTGGGAACCATCTATGGAGTTATCGAGTCCATATTCAATTTCATCCGACAAAGCTCATTCAAACCTCGGAATAGGGAGGAGGTACTATAATGCCCTTACGTTGAAAATTCAACGTTGGCACAACGTCGCACAGCGTCAACTTTTCAACGTTGAGCTGTGTTTCATTTCAACATTGTGGCAACGTCATGGCAACATGTTACGTTGAAAAGTCAACCTTTCCTCAACATTGTGGCTACATTGCCATAAACCTTTTTTCAACGTTGACACAACGCTGTTGTGCCGAATGGGTAGTTACATGAAGTTTGGTAGCGATTGGAATAACTTATCGTGGATGGATTTTCTCAGGGTAGTGGAACCATAACAGAGAAGGTGGCGATGTTACAGATTTACAAAGGACACGGGACATTATACGCAGATGGTGTGGGCAGACACGTACGCTGTGGGATGCGGCTACGTTGCCTACAATAGAAGCAAACTCTACGCGTGCAACTACGGCCCGGCTGGGAACATCCTGGAAATGAGCATGTACGGCTTTGGGGCCCCTTGCTCCTGCTGCCAGTCGTCCTGCTCTGACGGCGTCCTCTGCGACTGATCATTGAGCTGCTTCGTCGCAGGTTTTTCCTTCCGCGTACCGTGCATGATTATCGGAGGAATGCACTTCATGTATTCAGAGTTGAGTACTAGGTTTTAAAAATTTCGTTAACCTCCGCGTCTCCTTGAGGGCGGATAGTACTTTTATCAGTGTATAACATGTAAAATACTTTCGACAATTCCAACAGCAAAGGGAACGAAGTTCCCGTCAAACATGAGAGAAAAGGAATTCTGGCATGACAGCGGAAAAGGGGTTTCCTACTTCTTCGCGTATTCATGCAGATCCAAGAAACCCACGAAATTGCTTTTTGCGAAAAAAAGGGAAAAAATATTTCTTTCTCATGCCATCTGATATATTTTAAGTCTTGCATTCTCAGACTCTCCTATTCTCTTATTCTCTTACTTATAGCCAGAA